TTGATTTACTTTGAAGAAGTAGGTGTCAGCATTGAGAATGTGTTATGGATGTTATCTGGTTTTGTGATAAAGTCATAGGTATGCTCTGGGTTTTATCGTTCTCTTGTTGCCTCGAGACTGTGACCCCTGTCTGAGGACATGGCTCATTTCTCGTTAATCATTTACTTGTAGCCTTGGGTTGAGGGGCTGTGACAGGCATTGTCTTGGCTCTTGAAAACAAAGTAAAGGTATCTCATATAATAGACCTGCATTACTGAAACCCCAGGCATGTGTTTTTGTTCCAAAATCAATGACTCAGCAACAATTTAGTACTCAGTATATACACTAGTATTCAAAAGTTTGGGTTTGGTAAGATTTTGTAATGTTTTTGTCTCTCATGCTCATCAAGACTGCAGGTATTTGATCAGAAATACAGTAAAACTGTAATATTATGAAATATTGTTACATTTGAACCTTTTTAGTTTAAAAATGTTGATGCAAAAGCTGACTTTTCAGCATCCATTACTTCAGTCTTCAGTGTCACATGATCCTTCAGAAATCACTCTAATATGCTGATATGCTGCTCAAGGATAATTTCTTATTATTTTCGATGTTGAAAACAGTTTTAATATTTTTGTGTAAACTGAAATTAATTTTTTCAGGATTCTCTGATGAAAAAAACATCATTTTTTTAAACAAGCATTTATTTGAAATATAAATATTTTGTAACATTATAAATATGATTACTATCACTTTTTATGAATTTAATGAATCCTTGCGGATTAAAAAGAATTTCTTTAAAAAAAATCTTACTGACCCCTTTGAAGACAAAGAAAAAAATTCATAGTTCATAGATACAGTCGACAGATAACAAAACATAATTTCAACAATCATAGAAAGAGTGATTCAAGGTGATAGCATCATTATTGCACAATAACTATATAACTATACAAAATCCTTTTAAATAGATTTTTTTTTTTATCTTACTGACCCTATATAGATAGATAAGAAAAAAAATGCAACGTAGATTCATAGGTATATTAGGTACATTAGATATATAAGAAAACAGAAAAAGGTTTTAAACAATCATAGAAAGAAAGAGTTTGTATACAAGGCAGTGACATCATCATTGCACTATAACCATAATAAATAGACAGATATATATTTATATTTAAAAAACAGTTCAAGATAGATAGATGTCTCTTAATAATCGTGATATAGTTCTGGAACTATGAAATGAAATTGATGTTTGTTCTCGTAATGGCGAGACACTGGCAGAGTGCAAGTGTTGTGGGTGTGGTACTGCAGCGTGCCAATGGACGCCAGTTGTAGAGGGAGGTAGGGAGCTGTTGCAGCATGCCTTTCTCTCTCGTCTCTGAGTGTCCCGCCCCCTTTGCCACTGCCATCTCTTGGCTTTCCCAGAATGCCCTCTGTCTGAGAGCACTGGCCTGAAATAAAACTATGAGGGCCTGCGCGGAGAGAATGGGAGCTTTGTCTCAGCTGCCATTTACTCTGTCTGGGGGCATAGAGACAGAACTCAAAGAGAGTGTCTGATTGCAAATTAGCACAGCCCAGGGCTCAATGCTCTGTACACTCATACACACTCACGCACTGGCGGTGTGAGGCGTGGAGAAAGTTCTGCATTAAACGCTGCCTTTAGTTCTATTGAATAGTGCCACATTTCCGTAAGGGGCACAAAAAATAATTAGCAGCAGGCTTCTCTTGAGCTGACTTGTGTATGACCGAAGCATTTGGGGTTGTTTAGTATGCAAGTGATGCCGGGTCTGAATTTGTGATTAGCTGAAAGACAAAAGGTGCAGCCGGTGCACTGCAGGACATCAGTGGGCTCTGCGAGTGGGCCTCTCGCTGTGTTTCACTGTGATTGACATGCGTCAGAGGATCGCATGCAGTTTGTTGACTCTATTTGGCGTGAGAACTTGAGTCTTTATCGTATAAATACAAGTGTAATCATTTTGAATTGTTTGACCTAAATGCATTCTTATCAACTATTTTCAAGGTAATTGACTGCCTGAGGAAGCAATTTCTAACCGGCACAAAGCCTTAAAATTGTGTGCATTAAATGTCATATAATCAAATCTCTCCTTGACTTTCTGGTTTAAAAATTTGAAGCACTTGCTGGCATTAATGTCTACCCTTTTTTCTTGCATATATTTATTTATTTAATATGAGAGGCATGTAATGCTGGAGACAAGAATAAGTTTCATGTAAACATGTGATGCCATACGAACTCAACAACCCTTTCGTTATAATCTGCTTGCCACCATCTCATGTTAATTCCCATGAGGCCACTTTGTGTAGGACGTAAACACACGCGCGTTCACACATAGGACACAATTCGGCCCTTTAATCTGATTAGTGTCTGTATGGATGAACCTGTGGGTTCGGGTTCATGGAGTGTGTTCCTCTACTTCTAACCATCGGCAGAGTGGTGAAGCAATGACTTCAGTATTTATAGAGAAAGTAATCATATTTTTGAGCACAGAGGGGAAAAAATGCATGGTAATAAGTTCTGAAATTAACTTTTAAGCATAATACCCGTCAACACCATCCTGTATCAGAAGTAATATTTTACTTAAGTGTCAAAAAGATGCACTGATGTTAGTTATTGATTAAATTATGTAAGCCCTATCCTACATTTTTTTTTTTTTTTTTATTTAAAAAAAGGAATAATAACTAAATGAGGGTGTGATCAAAGCTGTTACCTGATTTCTTTTTCTTCTTTAATAACATTTTCTGGCTGAGTGATTTTTTTTTTTAGATATTATTTTATAATTTATTTTATTTTCTGCACATTTTATTGGAGAAATATTGCCTTGTTTGCAACTAAACTTCCATCTGTACCTGACAGATAAAACAGTACTCTGTCTGTTTTAAGTGGCTTTGTAAAATATTTTTTATGAATGGGTATTACATTCAGAAATACATTTGTGAAATTGATATTCCTGACTATAAACCACAAATTCAGCAGACTTGACTTAAAGGAGCCTTGAAGCAGGGAAAAAATCACACTAATGGTCTCTGAGAGCCAATAATAGGGGTAAATTAGAATTTTCCTTAACAGAGTTTACAGTATTGTAAGTTAAAGTCCATTTTTGTTGTTGTTTCTATTAAAACATTTAATACATTTAATATGTGTACTGAACATCGAGACAGAAATTCTTAATATTAATGTTGCAAATTAGTATGTGAATAAGTCTTTAATGAATGAATGCATGACTCACATCACACACTGTTAGCCAAAACCTGATAAAAATGCCCTTCAAAATGCCTTTGATGGCAAACACACACACACACACACGTACACACAGGTTTAACATCATATCACATGATAGCCTGAAGTCCTTCTCACTTAACCCATTTAATCCCCTGTTTGTGACTAAAAAGTTTTTTTGTCAACTATAAAAAAATGAAAGTGCATTTTAATATTGTTGGTGTAAATACATGACTGAAGCTGTTTAATGCCAATTTGCCTTTCTGAAAGATGATGCCAAGGCTCCATAAAACATGTCATAATACAGATAAAGCTACCATAATTGATGCATATAATATTAAAAGGCTCCATTATTCTCATATAAATCATGATGATAAACATGTAAATATGTCAGTGGTCACATTTTTTAATAAGTAACTGACTGATTCATATTATACAACTGTAGATTTTGCCTTTTGAAGTATTGTCACATTAAATGAAACAAAGTAAAAGTAAAATAAATAAATAAATGAATGATCTTACTACTTTCTTTTTTTTTTTTAAACATTCTGTTCGGTCTCTTAGACTTAGAGCAACTGTTTACACGTATGACCAGGGATATACTTTTACTAGCTGTTTATATTGTCCTTTTTTATTTTATTTATTTATTCTTTTAGAAAAGCCATGAAGTTTATTTCATTGTAACGTTACTATCCAAGAATTAAAATACACGTGCTCACTAAATGGGTTAAACGACGGCTTACAAGACCCGGGACATCTACAAACTTTTATGAAAATCTTTATAGAACGGTTAAACGCCTTTAAATATTTCACAAGTAGACATTTATACTAAATGGTTGGTAAAATATTTTATTATTACTACATAAATCGGCACGCCAACAGGTAGTATGTCTTATTTATTTCAGAGATCAGCAAACGAGCAAATATAATTCCTAACACCCTCTTCCTCATTAAAAAAAAAAATCAAGGATGTTTTTAAACCACAATTTTATTTTCTTTACTTTTATTTACCTACGGTGTTTCTTTCTCTGAGATCAACCACAACAGACTTCTCAAGTCGAAACTTTTTAACGTTACCTCAGATTTTTCGCCGGTTTGAAAACGGACTGCATATTCGTCGAGCTGTTAAGTCTCTGAGGTAAATCTGCCGAACGGGTCGAGCACGACGGGCCCATGAATTAAAAGAAAAATTGCCCACAGCCACCATCATTATATATCCAATGTGAATAAGAGTAAACAGTGTGTTATTTAGTGCTGATATTAGGTCAGCGGCTGCTGTCTGGCTCTTGTGTAACGGTCGCTGCGCGCGCTCGTGTGCGCGAATCACAGTTCACCTTAGTTGAACTTGTGTGATCTAGTTCACGGTAGTGTGAGGCTGTCGGTCCGCTCCGGTGTGGCTGTTGCAAGGATGAACAGCTCCTCTTGATCATTACCAAAAAAAAAAAAAAAAAAAAAAATACCTTTAAAAAAGTATATAAGTTGTGTAATGGATTCTGGGACATTTCTGAATGCAACAATGTGTAAAAATCAAGGTTGTGTAGCTAGAAGCGATTGCATTCATATGTATTGCATTCATACATTTGTGTGTCTTGTATCAGTCTAGGTCTTTTGACAAACATCACTTCACATGTATAGTTTGTAAGTACTTTTTTGCTTGGTTTAGCTGGATAACAGTCCAATCCAGCAGGAAAACCATGCATACTAAATCAGTTGACTTGGTGTTTCTTAAATACGTGTTTTTGTTGTGTCTGTGATGCAAAGTAAATGACAGTCCTTTACGCCGACTACCTTTAAAAGACGTAGTGTGTCGTCATGTTTTTGTGTAGCTCAGGAGGTTGTGATATTTTGCTGGCGGACAGACTGCATTAACGGTCGTGTGTTAACCGCGTTCAAGAATTTCAGCCTGAACTTGAAAAATAAAAACGGTCGTCGTGGTTTTACCCAACGATTCCCGTCAAGTTTCCTTTGTTTGTTTGTTTTGCCGTTGCTCGTTTCTAACGACAACTAAAGGAGCACGAATGATCCAGATGAAGCTAAGAAGCGGATGAAACGCGGACGTAAATAATGTAAGTTTGCCGTTATCGTATTTTAGTTGGTTCCATCGGTCGTTTTTTTTTCTGTATTGTTTTTATCTCGCTGTTACGCTTGAAATTACATGCGCCAATCATACGAAGCCGGCATATGGGGCATTATTGAACTGTAGCCTAGTTTTCACAGCTTATTTTCCTGGCATCAAATGTAACGTTATCTGTCGAGCACGCACTCGAATGAATTAAACGAGGAATAACCTTAACTCATTTTGCTAGTGCATGTCGAGGAGAATAATGGAGTTAGAGACACATAAGAGATAGAAAAGAGGTCAGTTTTTCATGGCTAGACGTTTTTGTTCGTGCTTTTTAAATAATCGATCGTGCTGCTCTCTTATTAGGGTTTGTGTAAATTCTTCTCTTTTATTGAAGTCACCATGAGACTGATCTGGTCTTCTCATTTATAAGAAAAATAAATCGAGTGTGTGTATTTCATGAATAGGGTTGCTCACTAAAATATTTCTGCCAGGCTTGTGTATTTTTTACAACCTATTTCATCCCGTCTATATCAAACTGGACTGAGGTTGTGGACAGTGTGTCATGCAACATAGTGAAATTAATAAATGAATCTCAACTGATATGATTATTATTAAAATAAAATATTTTTTTGATCCCTTTGTACTGAAAATGTATGCTCTAATATCTTAGGTGGCTTCCTTGACTTGTATCATGCATAAACAAGTCCTAAGACAATATGCCCCTTTTAGAGTTGATGATAATGCAGTTATCGAAATACATGCCAGTTATTTGACCAGGTTTTGTTTCTCTAAATGCATATTGCTATGTTGCAGACTTTTTTTTATTTTTTATTTTTATTTTTTTACAGCCAGTGAGAATAGAGCTTATTCTGAAATGTTAGACTGTGTGTGTGTGTGTGTGTCTGTGTGTTGCAGTGGTGCTTGAAATGGCGAAAATCTATATCGGACTCAACCCAGAGATGGAATGTACGTCCACCTTTTATCTGGTACGATTTTGTCTTTAAATATACATATAAATATACAGAGTGAGTGTAAATAAACTCAGTGTAAATAATAGAATGAGATAATAATCTGCTGTTATATGCTAAAAGTGAGATTGCCGTTATCTGTGTACTTTTTTGTACACGTACATCAGACAGATGTTAGAATAATGAAGCCTACTGAATAATATAAACTATAGTTTCATGCACGTATAATGCTTTATTGTGCATATGTGTTTTGTAATGTATTATTAATAGATATGAAAGTGCATGGATTTGTGCATCTCATTATGTATCTGTGAGGCTGTACTTCTGGTTGCTGACCGCTCTGTGTGTTACACATGCATGCTATAACATGTTAACCAACATCTTTTGAGATTTGTTATGCTGACTATGCTATTACCAACCTAGGCTAAAATGGCCTTCTTATGCTCTAATTTTCTTCTGTGAATGAGTTGCTAAACTGAAATAAGCAAAAACTTTTTTTTTTTACTCAAAAGTAACATAAACAACTTTAAATATATTTTAAAAACACAATTTTATCATCAGCAGATTTATTTCTCCTTTTGTAAAATGTGTGTTATGAATTTGTTGACAAAGTGCATTAAAAAAATTCAGATGCAGCTTTAGTTGTCCTTATCGTTGCTTGTTTGCATTTTGAATAAATAGAAGTAGCCTCTAAACCTAAGCAGAAAATAAGATTTTTTTTTTTTAAGTATGGGGATGTTTTAGGTATTTTTGAGGTTTTACACGAAACCTCAGTCAGATGTTTTACATATGCATGCCTCTTAATGTGACCCAATGCTCACTGTAAACAATGTCATGCATTATTTTGAAGGGCCTGTATATTTTTCTTTTTTTCCTCAATAATTTTTCTTGTCGTATACCTTCTAAAATAGGTGGAGACATTCAGAATGCAGATGATGTCAGCACTTCAAAACAAAAAGAAAAATCAGTAATTTTGAAAATCTGTTTCCAGTTTTCTTAATGTTGTCACTCAGCACTTGATTTGTCTTGCCAAAAATATCTTTTCATTTACATCTCCTGTCGGGGAAATAACCAAACCGCCATTGAACACAGAGCTACGTAACCCTAGGCAGGAAGGCTCAGGCCAGGCCGATGCTGAGAGCGCACGACCGAGGCCAGATCGCATTCCGTAGGTCTTGCTGAGTTCGTAAAGTGTGTGTGCATGCTGGAAGTGTCTTTCCATGACTGGGCCCTGGTGCTACAGCCACGCCAAACTGTCAATCCCACAGGAATGTCTCCCCAAACTCTTTGCAACAGATGACAGAAATTTGGCGTATGGTATTGTCATATTCTTTTTCTCTCAGACTTTTTTCTTCATCCCTTCTCTGCTTTTGTGCTCAGCCTCAAGTTTTTCAGTGCGCTTTCCCTTTCTTCCCTTGCTGCATTTCAGCAGAGATAGAAGGCCAAACATGTAATGTGTCAACATGACCTGGACTCGGTACTGTAATCTGAGCATTTCGCTTGGCCTTTCAAAATGATTTGATAATGATGACGGCTCGTTACCACCATCTTTTGCTAAAACGGTTTGAAAATCACCAGATAATTGAGCAAAGCCAACCGAACCCTTCGAGACTACAAAGAGGCGAACAATCCTACGCACTCTTTGCGCCGACAGAGTCATAAATTCATGTCTCTTCGCTGGCCCACTTCCAAGACGGATTACCTCAGCTAACCCTACGAAAAAAGCATACATTATTTGAAATTTTAAATGCAATCACCACAGGGAGGGGGAGGCGCGTCGTCTAACCTGACACATTCACACAATCAATCCACGCTTTTGTGTGGCTCTCAGATATGAGTGGCTGGATGATTTGAGTGGCCTGTAGTGTCAGCTGAGGTCAGGGGCGTGTCCTGAGCTTTTAGCCTGTAGCCTATCTGAAGCTGGCACTAAAAGGTTGCACAGATGTGAGGAAGAGCCGTTAGAGCAATACGTGTCCTACAGGAGTCGGGAACATTATAGAGCACCGGGGGGATGTGCCTAAGCCGCTCAGATTCCGAGTGCAGCAGAGGACAGTCAGACTGACACACATTCTGTAGTCACGGGGCTGTGTTTTACCTGTCATGCAGGGAGACATCAGGTGACGCATTTTGTGAATGCATGTGCACGAGGGAACTTAGGTTGCGCGTGTGATTTATGTATGTCAGCGTGTGTGCGCTTTCATTTTAGAGAGCAAACTTGTGGGTATGAGCGAGGAGCTCTTAAGTGCTTGACCTAATTTCGCAGGCAGAGAAGAATTCGGCAGTGAAGGCCTTCCTCTGTTAGTGTGAGGTTGCTGTGCTGGGTGTTTCCTCCCAGGGTCTAACAGGAAGCTCATGTTTGAGTTCATTTGAGGACAGGGAGAAGGCTTTTCTTTCCACTGTGGATCGTTCTAGAGAGGGGGAGAAAGCCAGGGCTCAGCTCTGAATTGCCCTTCTGCAATCTGGCATCTGTTTTAGCTCCTTATACTGCTGTATTGTCTTTTTTGGCAGAACTTTTTTTTTTGCTCCTGCCAAGAAAACATCTATTTTTTGGGCTTACAGTGAGCAGAAGCTGAGATCCTGAGTCAAAAATGACTTAATGAATCCTGTGAGCAAATTAAACAATCCCCTGCAGGGTTCTTTTCTGCTTCCTTTGGTTCGGTTTTACATTCCAGGCTCAACTGAGCCAGGTCGTGACCCATGAAAATGCTGCTCTGTTCACAATGGTTTTGGATGAATATTCACAGCACAGATGAGCTTATGGACAGTTATTGAAATGAATTAAAGTGCTTAAAGTGCTTTCATTGAGTTTTAGTGAATGCTCATAGGCTGTGATTTGTTGTTCACAGGTTCAGGGGCTTTGGACTACACTGACGAACATGCGTGTTGCAGGACTACGCAGGTGAGAAACATTTTAAGAAACTAAAGTGACCATCGACACACATTTGCAGTGCCACTCCATGCCACAGCAAGCCAGTTTTGTAAAGGAATTCATACTTAGCATAAATTAAATAAATATAAAATGCATAATTTTTACATTTATATTTATTTATTTAGCAGATGCTTTTTTTCAAAAAGGGACTTAAAAATAGCCATATTTCACCTAACCATTTTGTTGCATTGGAAATATTACCTAAATGTTCAAAAGTTTACCTGTTTCTTTTACAATAATAATTATTTTACAAGATTTAATGATATTGTATATTCATCGTTTTAAATGCATACTGCAGCCAGTCTGCAGGCTTGCAGTGTTTGTGTGGTCTCTTTGAAATGTGGATTCTGTGTGGGAGGCCTCTCTATTCATCTTCTGTGAACGTTTCATGTTGATTGTTTAGTGAAGTACGAAGATATCAGGTACTCTAGACATGTCCTTTCCAAATTAGAATCTTCATGACACGTATTGCATCATCCTATATGCTCTGATACTCGATTACATGTTACATCATACGCAGATCAAATATTTCATCAGAGAGTGGGGTTGTTCAGATCTAGGGCAGGTCTTTGAGAGCTTATTTCTATGGTGGGCAGAGCAGAAAAATGATGAGAATTGACCTGTTAGTCTCCCATTGCATCAGTTTGACTGAAATTAGAGGCATATTTGGGATGAAAGGTTCGCAGTATCCAGATTGTCTGAAAATGATCGCTTCAGCGTGCCAGTGTTCATAACCACACTGATCAAACATGATTTATCTTAGTGGTGACGTTGTTGTCTGATCTGCAGGGTTGGTTTTTTGGTTTCTTTGCGACTGTCTTTCTCTCTTCTGTTCATCACTGTGTAGGTTGACATGTTGGTTTTTACATGGATTTCGAAGTGTGTGAAATTAGCATGACGTGAACGAAAACATTCTGTCTTTCTGATCTTTTACTTTTGCAAAACATCCCAGTATCTCCCAAATTATTTGATTTACTCAAGACTCAATGCTCCCAAACTTTGTAAGCAATCAGATAAGTATTAGGATGTTTATGTGGCATGTTTCAATATCCTCAGTGCATGTAGTGTGCAGTGGAGAAAAAGAGAGGAGGAGCATACTTGACACAGCTGGTTCATGAAGATGCACTGTCTTTATCACTCAATCATCTAACGCTCTCTTTCACACATTATTCACATTTCCTGGTCTCCTGCAGCGTGGATGTACTCTCAGGTATGTGCTGTTTACAGGTGTCATCCAGATGTTTTCTTGCATGTTCTGATGCTCCCTCTGTTAGTACTTAATGCCATTTTTGTAGAAATGTTCCTGGTAGAGCCTAAGAATATCAAACTTACACAAGCTTAAAGAAAAAGCTGATATTTTATTTATTTATTTTATTATTTTATTTTTTTGTGTGCAGAGGTAACGTGTGGCAAAAACGTGACCAGCTTGACACTGTCACAACTGCAAAGTCTTTGCAGAGTTTTCTTTGAGCTACACTCTAACAGGGTAATTAGTGACGAACAGACATACTTTTAGGATACTTGAATCATGAATTTTTTTTTTTTTTTTTTGGATAATGTCCACTAAACTGTATAATTGACCCATCCAGCCAATTTACAACATAAATGTGCTAGTTTCATGTGTCATGTTTCTTTGCAGTCTCTTTGTTCTCACATAATGAAATTATTTAAACTCAAATCAATATTTCATGTCCATTAATTATTTATTTCTTAAGTAGCTGCATAATAAATACATCAAAGTTATGACATACCGTACATGTATTTATATAGTTATTTAAATAATAAACTGAAATAATGGCATTTATCAATATTTGCTGGAAAAAAGTCATCAAGTGAAGACATTACATTTTAATCTTTTAATAGATACATATATATTTCATGCATAAATGTATATTTGTAATATAATACAATATAAATATGTTTTTGTTTCCATGTAATTAAATGAAAGTCAGCTACAGTCCTCATTGTGCAATTAATTTCGTCAAGGTAAACTTAGTGTCTGTTCATACAAGATGTGTTTTTGTTTTTGTCTGAGACTTGTATAAAAAAAACAAACAAACAAAAAAAATATATATATGGGCTTATTGAAAATGCACATTCATTCTCTGCCAGCAGGAGGCGCTTTAGGTGCGGCAGAAATAGCGGTTTCCCCGGTAACGGCTGTAAACAAAACAGCACTCTGCTCATAAATGCTGCTTTATAATCAAAACTTTCAAAAGACAGTCAGTTCCCTTCAAAGATGCATTCATATAAAAACACCCACGCCACGTTTTGACTTTGAGACGTGCAGAGCTCATGTTTATTCAACAAAGTCAAAGCATTTTGGAAAATCTATTTGTGGCGGTCAGTGTTGATATTGTGGTGGGCCGTCACAAATAAATCAATGTATGGGAAACACTGTGTATATATATATATCTATTGTAGGGCTGCACGATTAATCAACTGCGAT